TAATCCAGTTTATTGTCCACAATTCCATTAAAGTCTCCCATCATAATTATATTAACATAGTCCAGTCCAGTTATTTTCATGTGTAATTTTTTATAAAATTCTTCTTGTTTATCATTCGGAGCATAAATTGCAATCAAGAGTATTTTTATATTATTGTCCATTATTTCCACCATTAATACTCTTCCGTCTTCATCCGTATAGATCAATTTTGCTGAGATGACCTCTTTAATGTATAGAACCACTCCTCTTTTCTTACATTGTCAAAGAAGTAAATATTTTCCCTAATTTTGGTTGTACTAACAATTGTTCATGTTGCTTTTTAATATGTACTTCTTGTAAACAAATTTGACAACGTGAACTGGAGATTTATGTTATTACTAGTGGAACAGATGGGTTTTGCCAGAAAATTTGTCCAAGCAATAGAAGCCATATATAATAAACAGACAGCAAAGGTAATGATGGAGGGAGAACTTACAGATTTTATTAATATAAGAAAAGGCACAAGACAAGGATGTCCCCTATCTCCTTTGCTATTTGTATTGACTTTGGAAGTGTTGAATAGAAATATTAAAGATGATAAAAGCATAAAAGGAATGAAAATTAAAAAGGAAGAATTTAAACTGCAAGCTTTTGCTGACGACTTAGTCTTTATTTTGGAAGATCCGTTAGAAACAGCTCCAAAGTTATTGGAAAAGATAGAGATATATGGTGAGGTGGCTGGTTTGAAAATAAATAAAGACAAAACAAAGATTTTGACAAAGAACATGCTACTGAGACAAAGAGAAGAACTGGCAGACCTGCTGAAAATCCAAGTTACAAATAAGGTTAAGTATCTGGGGATACATTTGACAGCAAGATGTAGCACATTAAAAGAGAATAATTATATTAAACTTAAACAACAGATAGCTATAGACTTGAAGAAATGGGAAAACCTGCAATTGTCATTAATAGGGAGAATTTCAACAATTAAGATGAATATTTTACCTAGAATCCTATTTCTCTTTCAAACAATACCAATTAGGCTCGGAAAAGACTATTTGATGATTTAAATAAAATTATGTTGAAGTATATATGGCAAGGTAAGAAAGCGAGAATAAAGCTAAAGCTTTTGCAAGATGCTAGAATTAGAGGAGGTTTTGGTCTGCCCAATTGGGAATTGTACTATCAAGCTGCAAGTTTGATGTGGGTTAAGGAATGGATAACATTAAGAAAGACTAGATTGTTGATATTAGAAGGTCATGACTTGCTGTTGGGTTGGCATACTTTTTTATGGTATAAGGGAACTAAAACACAGGGTTATTTTAGAAGACATTATATACGGGAGTCTTTGTGGTTAAACTGGGAGAAGATAAAAAGACAATGTTATTTGAAAATTCCAGTTTGGTTATCGACCATTGAAGCATTTTCCTATCCTATAATTTATAAGAAGGAACAAACAGTTAGATATGGGGACTATTGGATGAAAAGGGTGAACTTAAATCAATACAAAGTTTAGAGGAACAAGGTATAAAAATGAATTGGTTTTCATATGCGCAAATACATTCAAGGTATGATGAAGATTCTAAAACAGAGGGATTCTATGATAAACAGACTGATTTAGATAAGATTTTGATGGGTACTGATGAGAAGGTGATTAAAAAACTATATGGTTATTTACTGGGAATTAAATTAGAAGAAGAACAAGTTAAAGAAACTATGATTGTTTGGGGGAAGAATTTTGGATAAGGGATTGATGGCAAAAGAAATGGCAAAAATTGTGGTCTCAAAATTATAAAATGACAATGTCAACAGCATATAAGGAAAATTTGTATAAGATGTTTTACAGGTGGCACTTTCCCCCGACAAGAATAGCAAGAATGTTCAAGAACAAATCTGAAAAATGCTGGAAATGTCATCAGATACCTGGCTCATATTACCATATGTGGTGGACTTGTGAGGACGCTAAAAAATATTGGACTAAAATTCGCATGTGGTTGGAAAAAATGACAAAGAAATGTATAGATTTGAAACCGGAGTTCTTTTTATTGGGAATCTTACCAGATACATATAGTAAAGATTTGAAATACCTGATTGTAAATGTGTTAACAGCGGCTAGGATTGTATTTGCTAAAAACTGGAAGAATGAGAAAATACCATCACAGGAAGAAATTATTAAGAAAATATTGGAATGTGCTGAGATGAGTAGATTGACATTTGAAATTAGAGAGCAAGAGGATAAACAATTTTATGAAATTTGGGATCTTTTTTATCAGTGGCTAGATGATAAAATACGATAATAGAATATTTAGAAAGTTAGATAACAAGGAATACTTTTATTTTTTCTTTTGCCTATGTTATTTGACATTATATCTATAAAGTGTTTTTAGGATAGATTTGGTATGATTATATGATTTGTTATAGAATAAACTGTTTAAAGTATTGTTCTCTTATAAAGCATGAATGATTAAAAGTATAGTCAAATGATTTATTAATAGCGATATTAGGATATATAATTTTGGATTGACAATATGAGTTGTTATGTAATATAACTGTAATTGAGACTACGAAATGAATGCACAAAATCGATGAACCAACCGACACACTGTACGTACATAAGAGAGTTGATGTTTTAATGTTTTGTTTGTCTTGTTTGTTTGTAGAAAATCAATAAAATTGTTTTCGAGAAAAAAAGAAATATCATGTGGGCACTGGTCATAAAGTTATTTTTTGGCAGTATTGTACTTCAAACAGTCACTGAACATAGCAGTGGGCTACCTGTATGTTTACTTAAAATGCAACCATTTCACATCTCTCCTGCCCAAACACTCCTCTCGGAGGGATTTGGTTTTGATTAAATATTTCTACCTGCATAGTTGCCCAAAGGAACTTCTTTTATCAGGAATTACTTTCTGTCTTGCTGAGGCTGCTAGTCCTTGGCCTGTGCCTCTTCCTATTACCTGTAAGCCATGACAAATGCCACCAGCTTCCGATAGAGCTCCAGTGTGTGCACCTTCGGGTTGAAGATATCTGGGTGGGCCTTCAAGAAGGGCAAGATGATAGAGGAATACTCCATCTCAATATTGGCCAAGTCTTTCTCCACAGCTTCGAGGACTCCTGTCCCTTGCAGAAGCTGTGCCCGTTCTTCATGACCCCTGCACAAGAGAGCCAGCAGAAAGAGCAGCTTCCTCACTGGAGAAGAATGCCATATCTTGTGTGTCTAATCCCAATTGGCCAAATAAAGTCATCCTATCCTACCCCAAAAAACGAAACTATAGGGAAAAGCTTGCAAGTTGTTCAGACATCCATTTCACAAACACTACTTTTGTATCTGCTTTGCTGAGATTTAAGTTTAGCTTCTGATGGAAAGCAGCTTTCATAACAGAAGAACAGGAGTGAGTGGAAAAGGGGGAAGTCTTAGGATGCCTCTGGGAAGCAGCAGGTTTGAAACAGCTGCCGCTAAAATGGCTACCACAAACACAGCCAGCTTTAATGGCTGTTGAAGCCAGACAGTTGAAACCTAGCCAGTTTTCCAGTGTAATTAGCATCTTAGACCAAGCCAACCCAAGAAATATTGGGGAAATCCAGGAAGCTTGGCATTCAGACAAATTAGCCCCTCTGTCTCCTCAGCCTTCCTTCTTCTTACTCCCGGTCAGATCTTGCTGTCTGCTTTGCCTGTTATGTTTTTTAATGTGTGTTTTTTCTATTCTTCATTTGGCCTCTCCAGTAGGCCTTCCTAGCTTCAGTGCATCTTCTTCACTGTCTGAACACTTGCTACATTCACACTATCTACACTGCACAGGAGGCAGGTAAAGAAGCCAGTGCAGCAGCTCCTCTTACCAGAACATGGGGTGATCCAAGTCAGTGAACTGGGGCCAGAGAGAGAAATAAGGCCCCCATCGGGAACTACTAAGTGTGCATTCGTAGAGGAGTGAAACCAGGAGAGGAACCCAGCCCGATGAGCTCTGAAGGGAGGCTTCTTCTAGTGAAGGCAGAGACAAGGAAGGCGAGGAACATCAATGGAGGGAACAAATCCCCCCTCCAGCACTGCAGAGGAGCTGCAGTCGGAGGAGCCCCTCCCGCACCCTCCGGTGGGGCCTCTGAAGAGCCCGGACTTCTCTTCCACCCCCTCCTCCCCCACCCCCCACCCCCGCAGAAGACTTGCACCTGCTTCTTAGACTTCCACCCCACCCACCTTCCTTCAGGGGCTGAGGAGGCCGGAGCGCGACCACCAGAAGGCCCGGGTCCCCTTCGGCACCCGATCCACCGCATCGCGCCCCAAACACGCCCCGATCCCCCCTCAGCACAGGCAGCGCCGGTACCTTTCCGCAGGAGGGGAGCGAGGGCGCTGGTGTGCTGGGACAGGAGCGCCGTCCGGGGAATGCTGAAGAGCTCTTCGCCGGCACCCAGGCTCTCCCTGGCCAACAGCCCGTAGGCGGCCGCGGTGCCCACGCGACTCACGCCGACCTGCAAGCAGGAGAGGGCAGCGGCCGAGAGCGCGGCTCCCTCGCCCAGAAGGCGAGGAGAAGCCCCGCAGGAAGGCAGGACGCGGCCAAGAAGCTTCCGGGCTCGAAGCTTCCAGCTCCCCCCGGCCCCCATTGGAAATGCAAGAGGCGCATCCGGAGGCTCCTTCCTCGGGCGAAGGACCCGCGAGGGGCGCCACGCAACAGACTCCCACCCCACTGCAGGGGCCACCTCGAGAGCCGTACAACTGGGACTCAGTGCCGCGGGGCCCCTCCCACCAGACCCCCCGGCGCAGGCCTACCTTGGCGCTCAGCTGCACGCCGGCCTCGGCGCACCAGCGCAGGAAGGCAGGCAGGGCGCACGCGGGAGATGCGGGCTCTCCGCACCGCGGCCGCTTCGCCGCCTCCGCCATCCCCTTCGGCCGCTGGCTCGGAAGAGAGCGGAGGCACCCGGAAGGAGGGCAATGGGCCGGAAGAGGAGGGCAGAGGGGGCGGGGCTGAGTCGGATTCCCCCCCCCCCCCCCCCCCCCCCGAAAAGCGCCGCGAGAGGAAATGAGCGAGAGCCGCGGCGAAATGAAGAGAGGCGGCGGTTTAATAGGCTCCAAGTCTACAAGGCGCTGCAAAATAGGACAATTCCGTCGGTCTCCGGCCCGGAGCCGGAACAAGACAAAAGAGGATGCGGGCGATCACGGTGACGCGGCCCCGCGGTGGGCTCGACGCCGGTTCTGGCGATGCGGGAGACTCGACGTGCCCCTTCGGACTCCCTCCGGCCCCACCAACGGGAAGGGGCGGCCCTCCGGTCTCGGGAAGTTGCTCGCGGGCGGCCAGTTCCAGGCCGGAGCCTGGATGGCCTCTAAAGCCGAGGCCGGAGGGGAGCGGAGGGTTGGGCTCTCCCTGCCCCATGCAAAATGACACCCACCCCCACTAAAGGGCCTTGACTGGGAATCGGCCCGAGCAGCAGCCGCCGCTCTGAATGAGGAAGACCTCCCGACTCTCCTGCCCGGCCTCCCTTTACTCCCTGAGGCCCATTTCCTGGCCCGGCGAGTGCGGGGAGGCCCCTGCCTGCGTGGCTGCGGCGCTTGATGCCCACCTGCCCACCTCCGAGGGCCTCGGTGGCGGTGCGGCGGCTGCTGCCGACCCAGCCCAGCCAGCGCTCCTCCCTACCGCTGGGGAGGGGCTGCTAGGAGGGCGGATCAGCACCATCCTGTCCCCTGCAGCGGGAACCTGGCAGCGGACGGGGATCAAGCGGCTCCAGAAGATTCAGAGCCGTTCTTGGAACAGACCTCCCCTCCGGCCGGAATCTCCTGCTGCTCCCACTGTGAGCCTCTCAAGCAAGGCCTCCTCCCTCGGGGCTCCCTGCCACCCAGGCAGTGGAGGGCAGAGGGGAACTTCCCACACAAGCCCCTCCCGCTTGCAAGCGTCGTGCCTGGCCCACTTTGCAATTCCTGCCCAGCTGCTAGAATCAACTGCAGCTCAAGCATCTATCTGCGGGAACTGCTGCTGGCTGAGTTGAGTTACAGACCAACTTCCAAGCACAAGGCTGCACTATCCTTTCAATGCTGCCATTTTCCATCCCCACCAAAGGCCAGGAGCAGACACTTGCTGGGGCACGTCCTTTGAGGGGAAACGCCTTCAGGATGGCCAATCCCAAGCAGTGCCCTGCTTGCCTCCCTGTTCTGGGGGCACAGGCCAGGTGTGTTGCTACAGGAACCAACAGGGCTGCTTGGGCGGAAGGACGGATTGGAGCATGGGAACACAGTTACTCTAAAATGACATCTCTAACACAGGAAGGCAGCCTTGGGTAGGAAGCTGCTGCTTTCACTTTGAATCTGTCATGGCATTGGGAGAGATGGGCAGACAAGGAAACAGAAGCCACGAGAAGCAGCAAAAACAGCGGCTGGTGAGTAATGCAATGGTGGGTGGCCACAGCTCCCCGAACAAAGATGAGGCACTGGGGACTCTCAGCAGGACACCTCCATGGTGTGGTTGATCTGGCCCGTAGCTTCACTGCTTTCGGAGTGGGTGCAGGCTCTGGGACGGCTGCCATCCACCGAACTGGCACTGGTGAGGGAGGCTGTGCGCGAGCGGGCCAGGCGCGTCATGCTGGCCGAGGGCACTGCAGAGAGGCAGAACAAGGATCACTGGGGGGGACGGGACTGGGCAACTCGGGCACCCAAGAAGAGCCTAGATGGCACAACCAGGGAAGTGGCATTCTGCTCCGACTTCTTTGGAGCATGCTGGGATTTCGTTCACTATGGCAGAATGGGACAACTCGCCACAGGGCAGCTTCATGGGACAACTCCCCACGGGAGAATGCCAGAGGCGAGGGGAGCCTCCTCTTCCTTCTCTGCTTCATCCTCCCCAATTTTTTTCCTCAGTCCAAGCTACAGAAAAGGAGGTTCTCCTCCAGAATTCTCCCATTACCTCACATTAGATGGATGTAACTAATAAAAGGAATTACAGCCCCACATCAACTCAGGCAAGGTAGCTAGAGGTGGTGAGTTGCCCCAGACCTTCAGTATGGATCCCAGCCTGTTTTGGAAGGCGAGCCGTTCCAGCACTCCTAAGTGCTCTGTGGGGCTGAGCCTTTTGCCATTGGCCAGGCTGGCTCTGGCTGTCAAGAAGAAGGGCACCAGGCTGCTTCTCCCCAAAGGATGGCAGTCAATGACTTGGGACGCAGGACCCCAACTGGCAGAGCTTTTACTCTGTGGCTCATCTCACCCCGTGCCTCTTCGTGGCAGCAAAATAGAGAGGAGCACCAGCTTCTCCCCAGAGGACAAGGAGCCCTGTGCCCCCCTCCCCCCCCCCGCTTTATTCCCAGCCAATGGACCTGCGGAATTATTGACCATCAACCCCCGGAGAGCCATTGCTCCCATTTCTTTTGATCCCTCAGATGCCTCCCCTCTTGATCTGGCCATCTTTCTGGGAGCTGTTGGGGAACCTCCAAAGCATGGCCGAGGGAGAAGCTCCATGACTTCCCCTTCACAGCAGGACACACTCCACAGCAATCAGTGTGTGGCAGAGGAGGGGCAGGGGCCACACACAGCAAGCAGAAAGGGAGCAGACATTGCAGGAGTGCCTGTACCTGATCCTCCACTCAGCCGCCGGTCCTTCAGGTTCGCCACTGAAAAAAAGGTGGAGGGTTGAACAGGAGGGAAAAGGCGAGACAACGCTGGGGAAGGGGCGAGAGGATAGGCACCCTCAAGGTGTGGTGAGCCCTGGCCAAACTGGGCCACTGGACAAGGGGCAGGCAGGAGCTCAGGCTGAACTGAGGAAACACCAAGGCACAGCTGCTTGCTTTAGGCACTCTGCTGCCCATTGTGCATCTGGGTGCCTGAGTGGGCTTCCTCTCTTATTTTCCAGTGGTCAGCAGACAGATACAAGAGGGTGGCCCCCACCAAAGAAGCCAGGGGAGGGGGGGGGCAGCCCTTGGGAGTTACTGGGAAACGGGCTCCTGAGACCCTCTCAAGGTAGGAAGCCAAGCCCAGCTGGGGAGAGGGAGCATCCACGCTTCCTTTAAACTTTCCAGCAGGGGTAGAGGTGGGAGGGGGCCCTTGGCTCCTGTTACCCCAACCTCCCCAGTTTGTCTCTGTGTGGCTGCTGTGCGCACAGGGACCAGCACTGTTGCTTGCTCAGCTGATGGAGCAGCCCAGAGCAGGGCCGTTCCAAACTTGGCTCTGGAGAAAGGTCGCCCACTTTGGGGGGGGTCTGCTTGAAAGAGGACCAGCCTTGTGGGCATTTGTCCCCATTTTCTGTCCCTTCAAAGCAAATACCTTTCAAGCTGGACCAACCAGAGAAAGTGAGCCCAGCTGCAGGGGCTGCTGCTCCCCCATGCAATTCGGGCAAATGGATGGCATTCAAGGCCACAGCTCTGATTCAGCAAGACTTGGCCCGCTTTGGGGCTAGTCATGAGCCCCTCTCTGGCCAGGCCAGCAGCTTCCTATCCCAAAGCCCAGGTGGTCTCACCGTAGCCCATTCCTTGCAGGAAGTACTTGAACGCCTCAGTCAGTTTCCCAGGCTGGTAAGAAAACAGAGAGACAAAATACAAATATTGGGTTGCTCCATCCGTGGGGGTTTTTAAGAGAAGACTGGACAGCCACTTGAGGTAGAGCAGGGGTATCAAATCAAGGCCCTTGAGCCAGATGTGAGGTGCTTAAATCTAGCCCGTGGGGCTGGCCTGGAAATAGCAGAGGACCAGCCCGCAGTGCCTCTGGCCGTTTTGGCTGGCAAAATGTTGCAGGAAGCCATCCAGGTTGAAAACAGGGCGCATGTGGGCTGTGTGTGCCATCCCTGCTTTAGCTGGCACAGTGCTGCAAGAGGCCCTCCTGGCTGAAAATGGGGCACAGGGGAGCGTGTGCCCCCCCCCCGTGCCCCTTTTGGCTGGCCGGAGGCAGCCATCCCATCTCCCCCCCCCTCCCCGCCCAGCCCACGAAGGAGAACTACAATGCTAATCCAGCCCTCCAAGTCCAGTTTGAAATGAAGACATTGGAGGTCTTCTAGTCCAGCCCCTGCCTCAAGCAGGAGAACCTATCCCATTTCAGGTAAGTGACTGCCTAGTCTCTTCTTCAAAGCCTCCAGTGATGGAGCACCCATGATTTCTGAAGTTGTTCCACTGGTCAATTGTCCTCCCTGATAGGAAGTATCTCTTTAATTCCAGGTTGCTTCTCTCCTTGATCAGTTTCCAACCATTGTTTCTTGTCCTGCCCTCTGATGCTTTGGAGAATAATTTGACCCCCCTCTTATTTGTGGCAGTCCCTTAAATACTGGAAGACTGCTATTATGTTACCCCTAATTCTTCTTTTCTTTAGACTAGCCAGACCCAAAATCCTGCAGTCCTTCTTCATATGTTTTAGTCTCCAGGCCTTTGATCACCTTAGTTGCTCTTCTCTGAACTTTTTCCAAAGTCTCAACATCTTTTTTGTAGTGTATGGTGACCAAAACTGGTTGCAGTATTCGAGGTGTGGCCTTACTAGGGTTTTATAAAGTGGCACTAATACTTCATGTGATCTTGATCCTGTGCCTCTGTTTATACAACCCAGGATTGTATTAGCTTTTTTGGCTGCTCTGCACACTGCTGGTTCATGTTCAGGTGACCATCCACTAGGACTTCAGGTCCCTCTCATTGTTACTGTTTCTGAGCAGGTATCACCTAACCTGTACTTCTACCTTTGATTTTTCCTGCCTAAGTGTAAAACTTTGCTTTTCTCCACATTAAAATTCATTTTGTTGTTCAAGTTTGTCAGGATCTTTTTGGATCCTGAGCTTGTCTTCTAGGGTGTTAGCTATTCCTGCCAACTTGGTGTCATCTGCAAGTTTGATGAGTCCCCCTTCTATTCCCTCATCTAAGTCATTTATTGAAGATAAAGTCATTTATTGAAGATAATTAGGCCTAAGATGGAGCCTTGTGGTACCCCATTGCTTACTTGTATAATCAGTTATAAGTACGGTTTGTCAGCCAGCTACAAATCCATCTGGTGGTGATGTTGTCTATTCCACATTTTTCTAGCTTACCAAGTAGTAGAATGTGGTGTCCACAAGTTGAACCAGAAGACCTCAAAGGTCCCTTCTAACTGTTACTCTGTTAAATAAACTTTTGGGACATTTCATATTCACATCCAGTTTGTGAATTTAATTCTAATTCTATTTTATTTCCACCACCAATGATACAAATTCTTCATCAAGACCAGAGGGAAGGGGGAAAAGGTGAAATCTTGAAAGGCAATAGAGCCTTTTCTGAATCCAGAGAGGTTGAGAGGAGGGCCTCTGACCAAGAAGCCATAGCCCACTTCCCAGGGGGCCTGCCCTGAGGGGAGTTGGGCTTGGTTCTGGCCCAGCTCCAGGCTCCTCTGCAGGCTGGGTACTGAAAGCAGGAGAGCTCACCTGAGTCACTTGGGGAAGCCCTCCGGAATCAGCCATCTAAGAGGAAAGCAGAGGTTGCATTTGTGCAGGCTCCTCCTGCCCTTGAGATCATCCCCCCCAGATGGCCTGGCCTGCCCTAGATCTGAGGGAGGCTGCCCAGAAGCTTCTTCTACCTTTCTTTAGGGCAGCGCTTGAATGTGGATGCTTGCGCTTCAGACATGATGATTTTCTGCCCCTTCTATCAAAGTTATTTGGGGAGGGGGGACCAATGTCTGGAAAGTTGGAATTGGTCTCCAAGCCCCAGCAGGGAAGAGCCAAAGGCTAAGTGGGATGAGGTACCAGTCAGGAACAGTCAGTGGAAGGAGGGACCGTAGTGCTTTGCATCTGTGCTACAGCACTAGCAAAACCCACTCTTTGTACACGGGGGCTAATGGGCACTTTCCTTCAAACTTGGCATGCCTAAGTGTGTCTTCAGTGTGCAAGCCCCCCTCTCCCACCCGTTGCCCATGCCTTTGCTTGGATTGAGGTTGTAAGGAAAAAAAGATCACACCTCAGGCTGGATTTGTAAGATCCCACAGGGAGGATGCACAAGAACGAACTAGGCAACCGGGCAGAGGAACACTGCTACCATCAGGGAAGGAGAACATCCAGGAACCCCTAGTAAGGGCTGGCATGCACTGGTCTGCCAACTCACCTTCAGGAAAGTGGTGGTGGTTGGGTCCAGCTTGGAGTTGCATTCAACCTGCAAAGAACAAAGCTTCCACTAACACCAGGAATGGAGGAGCACATGACCTAAGATCTTTTCCCTGGCAGGGGCCCAAACAGGATTCCCCCTTCAGTTAAATCCCAGGAAACCCTACACTAAGGGCTAAGCATGCATCGTCTTGTTCTGAAGCTAGAGGAAATAATCTTTAAGCAGAACGAAGCAACTGGTAACAGGTTTCCTAAATGTGAATTCTCACAACCTAGATGTGTAAGAACAACCTTCATGAGAAACAGAGACTGTGCCCATTCAATATCTATTCTGCTCTATCACAAGAGTAGCCTGATAGAACTTCCATCTCTATCCCTAAAATCCTTGGGAATGACCATGGAAGTGCAAGTTTGAGGCAGCTGCCAGTCACTTGCCAGGAGGCCACCCAAGAAGGGAAGACCGGCTGCTCCAGGTCTCCTGCAGCCTTTCAGGAACAGTCAATCAAGAAACAGACCAGGCCAGCGTTTCTTGGCAATGCACTTCAGATACAGTGGTCCCAGTGGCCATAATTAGAGCCCACTCCATCTGAGGGCACCAGATGGGGGCCAAAACTATTCCAAAGAAGTCAAAAGCACCACAGCACCACAGATGCACTCTGGGCACTATGGCAATATTTGCTAGAAGTTGCCCTTCTGACAGCCGTGGCTGAGAAATGGCTTTCTTCTCTAGGCCTTGCAAAGATCCAAAGATTCGAGCGAGCTTGCAGCCCCTTCAGCCCAGCTGGGTAAACAGCTCCACTCACCACACCATCTTCTGCAGGGGCATTGTCACCCACCACCAGCATCACTGGGCAGCTGCGGACCCAAGGGGAGAAATGCAGTCACCAGAACAGCCTCCCTCCTGGCCACCACCATCCCACTGTCCTGCTGGGACTTACCGGAGCGTCTTGGCATTGGGCGCACTGCCAGGGCGGTTCATCTCCAGATCTCTGCGGCTGAGAGAAAGAGAGGGATTTCAAGGAGATATGGAGGAGAGACAGAGCCAAGCTGGGCCCCTCTGGCCACTGGAAGCTTCCAAGGCCCAGTCTAATCATGAGCCCAAATCTCCACAATGCAGACCCAGCCTCACTTTTTAATGGAGTTGCCTTTTTGCCCACATTTATGGGGTCCACCTCATTTCCTGACTGGGGGAGAATGCTTTTTAAACTTTGATTCTAGATCCAGGATGTGTTTCCATTTGGTCCTTGCACCTTCTAATGTGGTATTTCTATTGCCTGGCCTCCTTGGTGATGATTTTTCAGTTATTTCATTGGCTTGTTCTGGTTCACCCTGAGACTTTGGCAACAGAATGACTCGGGTGCCCAAACAACCTAATACTCCAAGAAACACAGCAAAGCAGATTTTTTTTAGAAAGATGCAGGTTTACAAGCAGTGAGAGCAATTGGCGAAGAGAGGCAAGGAGATAATGGGTGTAATAGAAACTTTTTAAACCGTTAAAGAGAGTTCACTACAGCAGTGGCAGAGACAACCTCCCACAAGTTCAGGGTGCCACCACAGAAAAACCACCTCCCCTTAGTGTCACCACCTCAGATTCCAAGATTATCTTGGAATCCACCAAGGTGCCAGGGGCCCTCACTGCCAAGACAGGTGTGTCACAAACCGCCTCTGATATGGGGCGGGGGGGACGACGACACAAACTTTCCAGATGGCAGGAAAGATGGTCTGAATGCTGCTTCCTTCCCTGGTGTGCAAGCTTAACTTGTTGAGGGGCTGCTGCCAAGCTTGCTAGTTCTGGCTTCTACCTACAGGATGAGGGCGTGATGCAACCAAGAAAGCAATTCCCATGATGTGGAAATTAGAGCCCTTTTCTCTGCCACAGTCCAAGGGGGCTCTGGGTCAAGGAAGTTTGGAGGAGGGACCACTTTACCTGTTGTACATACTCCAGAAGAGCTGCAGGTTGAACTGGTTCACTGTGCTGGCAATTTGCTGGCGATAGCTCTGCACCAGCTCCATGTTATTGGCCAACTCCTCCTGTGGGCATGGAGATGACAAAGGCAAAGAGAGGCCTGGCAAGCAGCCCCCTGGAGCCCAGGCCTGCTCCTGGAAGTGGTAGTCAACCCCCTCAGGCCCAGCCCACCCTTGGGGGGCAAGGCTCTCCACACTTCTGCCAAGTAAGACCTCACTAAGGCAGCAGCCGATTGCCAGTGACTGTGAAGAACTTGCCTGGGGGTGGGAGACATGGCAAGGGACGTTTGCATTGCTAGTAACAGGCAAGCTAGGTACAGATGCTTTTGTCTAGAGCTTCTATCTGCCCACTAGAAGTTCAGAGATCTACCTGCATTGAAGGGGAGCTCCCTCTTACTCAAGCGTGAAATGCAACCCAACAATTCAGGTGAGACATGACCATGGATCCCACAATACCTACCAGTCACCCCCTGGCCCAGTTTCCAGTGTTAGAACAACCCCGTTCAGTGGCATGGGATGTCAGGGGAAACTGTTGGCAGAATGGCTTGGTGTCTCTATCATCACCTTTGCATGTGTGGGTGAGCTTTTTAAAGCAGTTTCTATGACTATCCTAGGGTGGCTGCCAGTCTTGCAAGCAGCCACCCCTAAGAGGGGAAAGGATTCCCTGCCCTGCAAGAAGGACCTGAGAGGCCTGTAAACCTCCCCATCTGCCATTGCTGTCGTCTTACCTGGCTGAACAGATGAGACAGCACCATGTCAGATAATGTGCTGGTCAGGCCAGAGAGCTGAAAGAAGGAGATGGATGTCAAGGGACACAACATCACTTTCCCACATCCAGCACAAAGCCACCTAGGTGCTGAGAGTCATTGTCTGGCCCTGAGCAGGTTAGACAAAGACCCAGCCTTTGATATTCGGAGTTTGGCTGCACGAAGAGTAGGGAGAAGCCCCATTATTCTACCACCTCTTACTATATTCAACAGCAGTAGGGTCCTTCAAGTTTTTAGGTTCTATAATCTCCCAGGATTTGAAATGGACACCTAACATTAGAACCATTATTTAAAAAGCACAACAAAGAATGTTCTTCCTGCATCAATTTAGGAAATTCAGAGTGCCCAAAGAGCTTTTGACAGAGTTCTACAGAGGAATTATTGAATCTGTCATTTGTACTTCTATAACTGTCCAGTTTGATTCAGCAACTAACCAGGACAGGTACAGATTCCAAGGGATAATTAAACCTGCAGAAAAACCAGTTGCAATCAGCCTTCCACTAAGGACCTGTGCATTGCACGAGTCAGAAGGAGAGCTGGGAAAATAACTAGACACCGCACATCCTGGACATTAGCAGTTTCAACTCCTTCCCTTGGGATGCTGCTTTAGGATGTTGCATGCCAAAATACGTAGACACAGGGACAGGTTCTTCCCTCGTGCCATCACTCTGCAGAACACAACTTTCACAGTACTGTCTTGTCTAAATTTATTTACTCATATTACATTATTATTATCCTTCTCTACTTCTTATTGGTATCATTGTGATTACTATTACTCTGTTACTTTGCATGTACACTGAGAGCTTCTGCGCCAGAGACATTCTTTGGCACACTTGGCCAAAGAAATTCTATTCTATTCCTATCCTAAATTCTATCCTATCCTATCCTAGTAGGAACTCTATTCTATTCTTATCCTGAATTCTATTTTACTCTACTCTACTCTATTCCTATCCTGAATTCTACTCTACTCTATTCTATTCCTATCTTGAATTCTATTCTATTCTCAGCCTAATCTCTTGGCATATGTGCCAGACTGCGACTTCTTCAGATCTTCTACACCCCTGCCCTCAGGAGATTTCCGCTCTTCATCCCTTTGTGCAGAGCTATCTCCTCAGCACAGAAAAATTATGCCCAACCCACCCTGGAAGACTACCTTGCTGGCAGCCCAGTCAATCCACCCTTTGGCATTTGGGTCAACATTGATCAGAACGAGGCCTTCCACCAGATCTGGGAAGATCAGCTGCAGCAAAACAGATACAGAGTTTATTCTGGCTATCAGATTTATAAGCATCCAAAGGCAAGGGAATATGGAAGAAAAACCTGCAAGTTGCATTCACACAGCATACATAAGCAGATCTAGAGGCTACATTTGGATAATGTGCAAAACTAGGGTTGTGCAAAGCATTTGAAATAGATGTTGTGAAAAGCAAAGTCTTTCATCTGAAGCACCCTCTGCAAGCTTTGGAAGCATTTTCTGTTTTGCCTACTTCTCCACAAGAAAGGTTTTGTGTTTCACACAGAAAGAAAAGAAAACCATTGCAAAGTCCTAGTACTTATTTAAAGTTAGAATATTGAAGAAGTTATGCTTGTTATTTGAGAAGACTCCTGAAAGAGCCTCCTGACTATGAACTTTATGAACTTCATATGAACTTTGAAAAATGTGGTCCCAGAAACCCACACAGAACTACTTCCTGACACCATCACAACAGCAAGGGCTTCAGTTCAGAAGAAGACCCATCCCTGAGATGGGGAAGGATGATGCAATGGAGAAAGGAGGACAGGGTCAAGACAAAGGAAATCAAGCACAGAAATGGTGGCCCTCTTGCATCATTGTGGTCCCATAAGTGATAGGGAGTGGCTGCAAAGGCGAGACTCTTTGTGCCAGCTCTGCCTACCATAAACCAGCGTAATTCATGCTCTATGTGTGGGTGAAACCAGACAATTCTCTGTGGGTCCCAGTTTGGCAAGAGCTGCAATTGGCTGGTTGCAGGCACTGGGTGTGGCAGCCATGGAAATGTCCAATCGGCTGATAACCTCAGCCCAACCTAGGGATACGGGCACGATGGAAGGAGCTGAGTAGGTCTTGGCAACCTTCAAGAACTTGTCTGACACCATTTTCAAGGGGTTGCTCATGCAAGACAAAGTGCTTATTTTTGGCTTTCAGGTGAATAAGTGCAGGCCCTGATAAAAGCAGAAAAGCTTTCAGTTAAATAAATGTCCACCAGATGGCGGTACATGGGTTCTACTCTAGAAGATGCCAAAAGACAGGGTTCCTTCTCAGAATGCATATAGGCCCCTCCCTCCCCTCCCTCCCTCCCTCCCTGATCTCTCCTTTTACCCCCAGACCAAGTAGAACACTTACGGCAAATTTGGCAAGAACATAGGCACCTGCTCCGACTCCAATTCCAATCACATACTTGAACCTATGAAAAGGGAAGCGTCAGACTTCTTGGCATCACTTCCTTGCTTCATTGCCTGCCAGTTCCCAAGGCTCAGTTTATGGCCAACTAGAATTGGGACCGTCCAGATGGGCTTACAGTATAAATGGTTCCAAATGATCACCTACAAATGGTTGTTAAGCAAGGACTACCTGGATTACTTTTTAAGAAGCTCCAAAACATGGTGCCTTCATAACAATTTTGCTAGGCTAAGCAGGAAAAGAGCCATTTTTGAGACATGGTTTAATGTGAGCTCTGATCAGCCTAAAACCTTCAACCACCAGACCACCAACTGAAGCTTTATTGAATACCAGTTAGTTGCCCCTCAACTGTTTAACCACTTGCTCAAAAGGGCCAAACTCTGCATTTTGGAAAAAAGTCCTTGTCAGCCACCTCTGAAGCAGGAGAGACTCATTCTCTTTAAAGAGCAAATTGTAGCCAAATGCAAAATGCCAGTTTTATCAGCTGCTCAAAGGCACCAGGAGACGGTGAGTTCTGCTCCTGCCTCAGGCACAAAATTAGCTGGGTGACCTTGGGCCAATCCCTTTCTCATAGCAGGAGGCAGTGGCAATCCACTGCCAAGAATGTGCCAAGAAAACAGCAGGAGGACCCCCGTCCATGTAATCGCCAGGAAGTAAGACTGTACCACACCATAAAGGCCATTCTACCAGGGCAATATGAGCCCCCCCCCCCCAACAACAACCTGATGACACCCCATGCTCACCCAAAATGTTGGACCACACTGGGCAACATGGCAGCTAACTGGTCCATGGACGGGTACTGATACCTATGGAAACAGCAAGCGAGAAGTCCTGAAAGATTCAATCTCAATCTCTCCCTCTCTCCCTCCCCCCCCTCCACACTGTATATTTATATTTCACATATGACATAACAGAATACAGCATTAATACATAAAATTTCACAAAAACAGTGTATAAAATATGCACATTTTTAGCAATTGGACAGCAATACTCTTGAGGTGATGTATTTCATGCAGGGATCCAGAGAACCTTCTGAGGTGGCATTCCATTGCAATATGATATAAAGTTTGCAGGACATTCCCACAATCCCCATCAGGATTCTCAACCAATGCCCGTCTTATCCTGGTGTAGGAGGATCTTCCAGGGAAAAACTCGGGAGCAGCCCAACCCTTCTGTGGGGAAGCTGCTTCTCTGAGTCCGTTTGGGATTCCCAACTGGAGCAGCTCCAGAGGAGTCAGGCTGCTATGCTTGCCTCTTACATTCCCTGGAGTTGTCCTTCTAGAACAACCCCCAACACAATTCACATTTGCCTGAATTAACTCACAATTAATTTTTAATTAATTAGTTATTAATTTAATTAGTTAATTTAATTTAGGCTAATTAGTCTTTTTTGCATGATATATATTACTATCAGCTTTAAAGTCACAGTAGCAGTTTGTGATGAAAGATTACCTTATGCAAAAAGGGCCCTATCACCATTTAGGGCTAACACACACACACACACTGCTCTCCCCCCCTCTGCATGACTAAGGAGATCCCTCCAAAGGAGCCCTTCATTTGAGTCCCCTCTGAGAGCCACGTGACAGGGACTCTGAGGCAGATCCATGATCCAGAAAAGGCCTGGCAAGGAACCACCAGGGACACAATCCCCCACCTGGCCATCTAAGAAGACACAGAGGCCTTCCTGGGAGATGCTTACCCCTGGGGAAACTGGGAGGCCCCAGACTGCTGCCCAGGCGCATCCACATGGCACACCACAAAGTGCTTCATGATCTCTTGCATTTCCTCAGAGTTAAAGAAAGTGTTGAAACAGAGTTTGTCTGCAAGAAATAGGAAGAAAATTAGGGCTAGAAATCGAATGAACTCGAGTATTGACCTCTCTTACTATTCCAGGCAGGGCAGAGGCAACCAGAGGCTTCGTTCCCTGTCTTAAGCTGTTTTTGTGTTACTCCAACACTAAAGACTGGAATACTCTACCTGACTGTGTGGTTTCTTCCCCAAACCTCAAAAACTTTAACCTTAGACTATCTACTATTGACCTCACCCCTTTCCTAATAGGGTGTAGGGGGCGTGCATAAGTGCACCAATGTGCCTACCATCCCTGTCCTATTGTTTCTTTTATTTTTCTTATATGTACCCATTTCATGTATTCATAACTATGTATATACTTATACCTATTATCTTGTGATTGACAAATCAAAATAAATAAAGCTTTTCAGGACTGTGAAACCGCTACTGCTTTCCACATGGAATGTCTATGGAGATTCTCATCATCCAGGTTATCATTGTCCCAAAGGTGTTTTCTTCAAAAGGCAACTGGACTTTCTTTGTTTTGCTTGAAGATATTTTGCTTCTCGTCGAAGAAGCTTCTTCAGTCAGAAGTCAGAACTGAAGAAGCTTCTTGGATGAGAAGCCAAAGGTCTTCAAGCAAAACAAAGTCCAGCTGCCTTTTGAAAAAAGCACCCTTTGGGTTCCAGGAGGAATAAAAGTGGAACAAAGATGATGGTTATTTATTAATGGCTTTTCTAACACTTTGCAATTAAGCTGCCATCTCTTCCAAGGTGACTCAAGCCCTTCCTGTTGATGGACTCATTTCAGCCCATTCCAGTGTTTCCATGCAACAATTGGCAACCTCCTCAGGGCAAGTGGAGAGTATCTGGCAAGCCAGCCAATCCACTCCATTCAATGGAGGTTCAGCCCCAGCCAAGGCTGAAGGACCCTTGACTAGCTGGCCTTTCTCCCATTGCCTGTCCTTCACATGTTTCTCATGCGGAAAGTGATTGACATAAGCTGGGCAAAGAAACCCCACTGGCTGTCTCTGGAACTTCAGCTTCAGCCCATCAGTCTAGGGAAGAGAAGGACCAGGGGAGACTTGATAGGAGTCTTCCAGTATTTGGGGGGCTTCCCCAGATAGGAAGGGATCAAGCTATATTCTAAAGCACCTGTAGGCCAGACAAGGAGTAATGGATGGATCAAGGAGAGATTTAACTTGGAAATAAGGAGGAATTTTCTGACAGTGAGAACAATCAACCAATGGAACAGAAGTTGCCTTCAGAAGTCGTGGGAGCTTTATCCCTGGAGGCTTTTGAAGAAAAGACTGCACTGCCATTTGTCAGAAATGATGTAGGCTCTCCTGCTTGGGTGGGAGGTTGGACTAGATGATCTACAAGGTCCCTTCCAACTCTATTAATCTGTAAAATCTCTTCCTTTCCACGCAACTTCTTTCTTCCTATGCCATGGGGATGATGACCCTGGTTAAGCTGGCAGGCTGCCTTATTTAGTTTTCAGGGAATTTGGGTGTTTGCAAGCCTTTCTAGTCAATTTATGGAAGCACAGACAATGTTTTAGCTATCTCCTGAACTAAGATTAGGGAAAAGAACTCCCTTTCAGCATCTTCAGCATTTCTCTCCTCCTCTGTAGAACAGGAGGAGGCCAAAAAGGAAAGGGGTTTTGTTTTGTTTTGTTCTTTGCTATGTTCACACAGCAAAAGTACTTAATACAGTTTCTGAATTCACATGATGCTGTGAATCAAAATTAACCAAAACTATTGGGTCTGCACACTATGCCATAGAATGAAGCCTTTTCCATGGCATTGAAAAACTTGGCACATCAGCAAATGTCAACGAAATGGCCGCCTTGTCATTGACCATGTCAATCCCTCCTCCTTTTGGTAGCCAAGCACAAACAGCCAGTTTGCAAGTCAGGCACAACAGAGCCAGCTTTAGGGGAACGGGGGCTCTGGCCCTCCCTCCCCAACCAGAATTAAAAGTGACCCACTTACGATTGAGCCCCACATCATGGTAAGTCAGGAGAGCTGGGCGGTTCCCTCTGGCGGATCCCCGAAGGACAACATGCAGCAGTCCATACGGTGTCTCGATGTCATGCTCCTGGAGGAGAGAGGAGAGATGGTGATGCGAGGTCAGCCTGGCTGAAGGGAGCCGGGCTGCTGTCGCTGCCCCCTTTTCTAGGTCAGGTCCCCCAAGGAGGGGGGCACATGGGGAGCCATGGCAGCCCCAACCCACTGTGATGGCTGCATTCTTCCCTCCGGCCGCCATAGTTCGACTCTGCCCAGGAGCCCCCCAACCCAGCCTCTTTGCACACTGTCGTCTCCTCTGCAGGGTTTTCCACAATGTCAGGCTCAAGGAACCAAGAAGGACACCAGGAGTTCCTTCAGAGGAACTTCTTACTGGTGCTTGCACAGAAGTCTTGCCTGCCTATTAGATCTACCTGTAAACTGCTGGGGTTCCCCCCACCCTTTACCTTTTTTCTGCATGCCAAAGACACTGAGCTTCTCTGCCTCTTGGCTTCCCAAAAAATTCCCTCCTTCCTGTTAAACTGGCCAACATTCCCCCAGTCAAAGTCCCTCAGGCTTTGCTCCAGCAAATAGCCCAGCATTTATATTCCCTCCCTTTCTTGGATGAGGAATTATGGCTCTGCAGAACCTGCTTCTCCATAACTGCATTCACACAACCTGATTCCCTTGGTTGTGGAGTACACAGAGGTACACATCACAACATACATTGGACCATGAACAAACCAGATATGCCAGGTGTTTGCCACCTGCTCAGCCACAGGAAAAGACAAGCGGCCTTCTGCAAATGCAGCAGGTAGGTGGCTATTATAAACACAAATATAACTTCACTATCAGCAGTTCCAGCAAGAGCAACCCCAGATTGTGAAGGATGTTAAAGTTTCCCAGGGCTGAGTTTGCCTGCTCGTAAAGGCAGAGGAGGCTTTTAGCCCTCTTCCAGCACCCCCTGCTCCATCCAGCCCACCAGCACCCTAATGAAGTACAGCTGTTGGATGAAGGAGGGGTCTTCTCCCACCTGGAGCAGCCAAAGCCTGCCAGGGGGATCAGGCAGCTGCAGAAAAAGCAGCACCTTTCCTGCAGAGGGGACCAAATCTCTTCACCAAGGCTGACCAGCAGCAGGGATGGAGAGGGGGCAGAGAAGGTACCAGCGGTCAAATCATGAGCCCAAAGCACTAGAGGACTGGCGGTTGGCAGCATCCCAAGGGCCTGGGCCCTGTGACGGTGGATATTCGGCCTCTGCCTGCAGCTGCCGACCAGCAAGGCACAAGTTCAAAATCTTCGCTTTTGCATTTGCAGCCTCCGCTCCGCCTTCGATCTCAGACTGGTTCAGCCTCACCTGCTCCCAGTCCCCGCGGCTGACGCACCGTTTTCTGCCTCAGTGAGAACTTCAAGGACACCGACAAGGTGTCGCCCAGCTCCACAGCGAAGCCCCCGCCCGCAACCGCTGCATCGCCCCAGCAGGCCAGCCTCGTCTCCACCGCGGGCGGATGACGCGGCCCCCCGGGAAGCCCCCCCAACAATCCCGGCGGCCACCAACAAAGCTCCGACCCTCCCGCGGCAACCGGGGAACCGCGCTGCGCAGGAAGCCCCGCTTGGAGCGGGCACGGCGCCCGTCGGGCAACTGCTCCTCCGCGGGCTGGGCGAGAACTGAGAGCGGGGAGGGCGGAGGAGGATCAGGACAAGGTCGCTACCCGGCGCAGCCCAGCGCCCTGCCCGGCCGGGGATGCCGTAGCCGAGGAGGGCGAGGACCGAGGCCGGGCTTGCCTCCGCGTCTCGCCCTGTTTCCCGCCTCAGCCCCCGGCCGCTTCTGGGCACCTACCCCGTCCCAGCACTCTGGCATCTCGGGAGCTCCGGGGATGAAGCGGCGCCGCGTCCCTCTCCGGCTCTCCGCTCCCGGACTCGGACCCGCTCTCTGCACCCGCGCCGCGCAGCTCTGCAGTGGGCTGGCCTCGCCGGATGCATTTAAGGGCCAGCCGCGCCCCTCCCTCCCCCTGCTCGTCCCCCGCCCGCCGGGCGTCCGCTGGCCGAGCGCCCGCCACGCTCGCGGAAGGGGCGCACTAGAGCGGCGGCGGCGGCGGCGGCAAGCCCTGGCTGGGGCAGCGCCCAAGAAGCCTTGTAGGCCGCCCTTAAGAACAAAGGCTCGCTCCGCGGCCCCGAAGGAGGGAAAGAGGAAGCGCCTCCCCCCCACGCCCCATCTCCACCCGCGGGCCAGCGCTCTGGCGTCGGGCCTTCTGGCTGGGCGCGGCCGGCCCTGGAGGAGCTGCCCTCCCCGTGCCCGGCGAAGCGGCCTCAAGACCCCCGACGCGACTTGAAGCCGGAGTTGGAGACAGCGGCGAGGGGAGGGGGAATCCTGCGGAGAAGCAGATCCGGGGTCCCCGAAGGGAGGGTGAGGGCAGAATGAGGGCCCAACAAGAGCCTCTTGCCCTTCCCTGCCTCTGCAGGCAGCCCTGGTGACATCGGGCGTTGGGGGGGGGAGGAGGGCAGCCCTCCTTGTCCACTGCTCCTGCGAGGGAGGCTAAGGCTGGCTGGCTCCCTCTTCTGCGGTCACCTCACATGGCTCCCAGGAAGAAGGATGCCCAAATCCCCCACCTGTCCCCATTTGTTGGGCCTCTTTTCTTACTGCAATGCATCTCCTTTCTGCTCTGGACTTTACACTATTTAAGGTTTTTAAAAGATCCTTAAGTCAGCAGTTATTAGTTCAAAATCCATGCATATGTAACATGCTCTTCAGGATTTTCTTTAGCAGCAGCAAATTCCCCCAAAAAGCAATCAAATCAGTAATATTTGCTTTATAAAATCCCTCATTCACAGATGTTTGTTCACTGCCTAAATTTCAATGACCTCTACCTCTGAGTTTCCTCCACTCTTGGAAGAATACTGCACCCCTCCAAGGGCCTGGCTCCTGCTCAAGCCTCAGTCTGCCAGGTCAAATCAGTTACAGACACCCCTCCCCAATAATCTAATCCAACAAAATGACATGGTGCTTGGTTAAGGAGATAAGATCCAACTACATTTTTCTACGGATATCTTTGGACATCTCCCTGCTCTCCCCCCCACCCCATATAGCTGTCTATTTGACAAGAAAGTGACTCTGGGAAGCATGTGCTAGACATGTAGAGAGTCTAAAGATAATTCTTGAAAATCTACTGATTGAACCATGCCATCATTCATATCTATTATTATATCACACTATTTGAACAATCACTGTTGGGTGTGTTTGTATGACTCATTGATTCATGGTCAGATATGGTTTATTAAATTAACTCTAAATTCTGAGTTCACAGCACATTGAAATTAACCGCTAGGTTTATATGAGTCTTAAGCTAAAATCCAGTGGGCTGGCTTGTGTCTTCTGTGAAAGTAGCCATTTGTAAAATTTAGGCATTTGGTTTTCTGACCCCATGACGGTAACCTATCCATCCTATCCTTTGAGTAAGCTCTGCATCAAGATGGAGCAAAGTGCTGAGTTCCTGGCTTCTGTTCTAGGTCCTAGTGTTGTTCAACCAATTAATCTGATGAGGGGTTAGGAAGCATGATTATCACATTTCCAGGTGACACAGAAATTGCAAAGTCAGAGAGGATAGGATCACCTTGATAAGTTGGAGCAATGGGCAGGATTAATTTCAGCAGGAACAAATGTAAATATCTACATTTGGTTAGTAAAAGCCACAGGGAAGTAATAGGACTATACAATAGATTGTGCAACCACTATATAATAGATTGTACAGTGGTTGTGAAAATGATCTGGGTGCCTTAGTGGACTAGAACCCAAATCTAAGCCAACAAAAGGAATACTTCCCAGGACCTCCCAAAAAATATCAAATGCTGTCCTAAACTGCATTAAGAGCAGTCGTGTTGAAGTCAAGAGAAATCACCTTTCCACTTTATTCAGAGTTCATTCAACCTTAGGGATGCTGCACCCAGTTCTAGGCACCAGAATCGAAAGAGTCCAAGAAGCCAATGACAAAAGGCCTGGAAGAAAAGAACTAAAAGGAACAGTTGGAACAGTTAAGTGTCAAGACGAAGGGACCAGGAGACAGTACAGCTATAGTACAGCTGCCTTTCACTATCTGAAGGGGCCTTATGCCAATCATTCCAGAGCAGAAAGCGAAAAATCTGAAGTGACAAGGCAGCAGACCATCTGGTGGGACCGCTCCACAAAGGAAGAGGGTGAACCTGATTCTTCTGTGTGGAGGGGCTGGAAAAGGGGCTAGTTAGCCAGGGGCAGCATGATCTCCAGGAACCTCCTATTGTCTATTCTCTGGCTTCAAATTATGGGGCAGCCTGTCTATGAAATAAGAATATGAATTATTTGTGACATTTCTAAGGAACTCGTGTGCTTTTATGCTTAACACCTGCTTGTGAGTTGAACAAGCTTGACCAGCCAAGGCTCTGTCCCCCCTTTCAAGACCCTTTCAAGGTCACCTCCTTCTCTGTGCTGCCTCCCATTAGGAGGTCAGATTTTGTCAGCCCATTACAGAGCCTTGCCAAATGAGGCCCAGATGCTAATGTTCAATTATTGTCAGAGGAAAAACAAAAATGTAACCATCTAAGCAATTTGCAGGGGACTTCTAGGACTCCATGGTTACATTTTCAACTTGTCACCATTGTGGGAAGCTGATAGCCTAATTTTAAAATAATTTTTTAAAAACCAGCTAATGTGGCATATTCTGTTTGAAGAAGCCAATTTCACACCTACACCCACTCCGCAGAGCCAAGCTGAGGGGAGGGTGACAAACAAAAGCTCAGCGTTCCACTATACTTGGTGCTGAAGCTGGCCCTGTCCCACTGGCCGGCCATACCACACTCGCCTATGGCCACCAAGGGGCTTCGCTCTCGCCATGCACCATCATCAATTCTCCCCTCGCTGGCTAGCTTCATTCCAGCCTTCCAGGCTGTTGCAGCAATTTGGCCCAGCTAAGATATTTTGGACTATAAGCACCTCCATTCCTAATTACTGGTCACACTTCCTTGGTTGATGGAAATTACAGCTTAAAACATTGGAATTCACCAGAAACTGTTTTTCTGCCTTACAGGGCATAATGCAAAATAAGTAGCATGCAAATAAGTTCATTT